AGATCTTGAATCTGAATTCAAGGATACGAAGTGGGAAGGGTTTAGAGGTGGATTAAGGTGAGGGCATGGGGGGCCGCCCCTTTTTTGGAAAAAAAAATGGTTGATTATTTAGAGAATGAATGAAGCGGGCCCCCTCTTTATGACAGTTAGTGTCTCCTTATGACATTTTTTGGATCCGCAACTGGTGAGGACTTCATAAAAAATATTTAGTAAGTTTTTGTTTTGTGATAAATAATGTATTTAGATACAAATAGAATAAAATAAACTACCGAAAGCTTAAGTATGGATGGGGGTTAACAGAATAGAGAATAACGGGCAAACAATAAAGATTAAAGAATAATGAAATGCTAAAATATGAGGAAAGAGAGTAATGAGCAAAAAGTGTAAGTTTGTAGAAATATAGCAAAAAAAAAATAAAGAACACAGAAAAAGAAGACCCCCCCCAAGATCCTGACTTCAACTTTGACGCTGCCGGGATATTTTTTAGACAAAGTGCACGTATTAGTAGTCAGCCGAAACAGAGACATATATACACATATAAACTTTTCCATCTTTAGAGAATAATTATTCCCAGCACATGAATTACTTTCTTATGACATACTGGATTTGTGTATAAAAGTTGTTTTATCCATATTTTCACCAGCTTTGATGCAATTTACAATTAAAAATGACCATTCAAGCTGTCGGCCATTTTCATTTTCTTCAATATAAAGACAGGCACCTGTCCATGGCAACAGTTTATAAAATTGTCCATCTTTAAAGAACAAATGTACCCATCACCATTGATCACAGGAATTACTTTCCCAAGACATACCGGTTTTTGTCGAGCCTGCGACTTTTGGTCGCAGAAAGCTCGATATAGGGATAGTGATCCGGCGGCGGCGGCGTTAGCTAACTTCTTAAAAGCTTTATAATTCAGAAGGTGGAAGACCTGGATGCTTCATACTTTGTATATGGATGCCTCATGTTACGAAGTTTCCGTCAGTCACATGTCCAATGTCCTTGACCTCATTTTCATGGTTCAGTGACTACTTGAAAAAAAAGTTAACATTTTTTGTAATGTTAAATTCTCTCTTATTATAAGTAGTAGGATAACTATATTTAGTATGTGCGTACCTTGCAAGGTTCTCATGCCCGTCAGACAGTTTTCACTTGACCTCGACCTCATTTCATGGATCAGTGAACAAGGTTAAGTTTTGGTGGTCAAGTCCATATCTCAGATACTATAAGCAATAGGTCTAGTATATTCGGTGTATGGAAGGACTGTAAGGTGTACATGTCCAACTGGCAGGTGTCATCTGACCTTGACCTCATTTTCATGGTTCAGTGGTTATAGTTAAGTTTTTGTGTTTTGGTCTGCTTTTCTTATACTGTATGCAATAGGTCTACTATATTTGGTGTATGGAATGATTGTAAGGTGTACATGTCTAGCTGGCAGGTGTCATCTGACCTTGACCTCGTTTTCATGGTTCAGTGGTCAAAGTTAAGTTTTTGAGTTTTGGTCTTTTTTTCTAATACTATATGCCATAGGTCAACTATATTTGGTGTATGGAAATATTTTATGATCTATATGTCAGTCACGTAGGTTTTATATGACCTTGACCTCATTTTCACGGTTCATTGATCAGTGTTAAGTTTTTGTGTTTTGGTCTGTTTTTCTTAAACTATAAGCAATAGGTCAACTATATTTGTTATATGGAAGAATTGTTAACTGTACATGTCTGCCTGGCACGGTTCATCTGACCTTGACCTCATTTCATGGTTCATTGGTCAATGTTTAGTTTTCTTGGTTAATGTTAAGTTTATGTGACAGTTGTAATAAAGCTTTATATTTAGGACTATCAACATAATATCAATGATTAGTAAAGAAGGCGAGACATTTCAGTGTGTGCACTCTTGTGTGTATATAAATTGTTTTTTTTTATTATTTCCACCACTTTGATGACATTTACAAGTTTATATACATGTATATTTACATTCAGTATCTGACAGCATTTTTTTTTTAACAGGATCCTGCATGTTATAAAAGAACAAAGATGTGGATCAAATTTACCTAACAGTGCAACATACAAGAGATGTAATATCATACATGTGCTGAATGTAGGACTCCCTAGCCTTTTTGATTGAAAAAAAAGATTCCCTGGCAGACAGGAACAACTATTAGTGATGACTTTTTTCAAATGTTACTGCACAGTCATGTAGTGGACCGATTACATGTACTACTATCAATGTGATACTAAAAAATGGTTTTGTAAGAGAGAAAATGACATGTGCTTATCCTGACTGAGAAAATACCACATTATTGTAGTTCAAATATCATAGTTCATATGCCAAACTTGATGTACATGTGTATGCGATTTTTGTGCAAGTGATGGTGACATCATTGAACTAAGAATAAATACAAGACTCCGCATTCAATCTATTGAATTTGAAACAGAAGTGGCAGTTGTGCAGAGACTATACGGATAAAAATGCAAATAAATATCTTGTGTTCAACTTCATTTGTCTTCTTTACGTTTACAAAGTATACATGTACATAATTTTTACATACATGTATAACAATATGATGATGTAGTATGATTGCCAATGAGACAATGATTTACATGTATGACTATCATTGGAAGGCCACTCTATAATATCTTTGTATATCATGAGAATGGAAATGCTACCTTTGTAGCATAAAGGTAGCATAATGTAAAAAAAGGGAAAATGTTCATTTATTCAACAACACTCCTGTGAATATATAACTTGACAGTACTAAAGGCAAAATATTTCGTTTCACAAATTCCTTCCTCTCCTCGGAAAATAACATATTTAATTGTTTACATGAAATGACAAAATGTGTAGAATAAGAAGCAAGAAATGTTCACTCTACTTGTACACTACTAGTCGCTCATATTAGTCATCATCTATGTTTGTTTCAGTCCTTTAACAATGGTGCTTGTTTATATTTATCTGTTGTGTTGTGTTGTGTTGTTTCAGTTTTACATGTCCTCATTCTGTGATCACTGTTTCACCTCGCCTATTTTGAAAAATGTTAATGCAAATATTTTCTGCAATAAATTGAAAAGGCACAGCTGCTATGACTATTCAGAAATGTGAGGTATATGTCAATGAGACAACAACCCAACGACAAAAATATTCTTTGCACATCTATGAATGTTTAAGAATTCTTGTGGAGGTCAAAAGCACATAACGTGTACTTATATATTGGTGACCTGGTACATGTATGTACCTATTGATGCATTCCGTCCTAAACATAAATTGTGTGAAGAGACCAAGCAGTTTATATGCTTATAAGAAAACTGATATTAAAATGAATTCCTGTATAACAAATTCCGGGAATGAGACACTATTTTATTTAAACCAGATGAGATATTAGTGGTAAAGGTTTAAACAGAAGCAGGAGATGTCAAGGGGCAATACAAAAAGTACAAGGTCATGTAACACAGATAAAAAAATGACAAATGAAAAGAAAATAACAGCCCACATAGCACTGCACCGAAACATAAACCCACAAAAGATCAGATAAAACTTGTCTTCAATTTTAAATCTTTCTAATTTCAAACTCGAGTTTCACACCCGATAGGAAAGAGTAAAGATAAGGATGTTGCAGTACTTCTGTGGTCTATGAAACAGAACATTAAAATTCTACAGTTCAGCAGAGCATTTTACTGTACTTATGATACACGTTGTTTTTAATCAGGGTCTGTGATATTAAGTCTATAAAAGAACTACAAATAATGACAGATTCATATTCAATATTTCATGACAGCAAAAATAGTGAATTCGACAACACTGTACATAATGTACGTTTATTTAGGAAATTCATGCAAAGGTTCCACAAATAATGTAATTGTAGGTCAATCAAAAATTAATCATTTAAATCCGTTTTCCACGAGACAAAATTTGACATGTTAAATGACTATTTTTGTTCCTGATTGAATACTATAGTAGAATGTAGTCTGACAGTAAGTCACAGGACAAAAAGTCACGGACGAAAAGTCACAATTCAGTTTTGAGATTATTTTTCTCTGAACAAGAAAACACTAATTTTAAAAATATTTTTTTGATTTTTTATTGAACTATAATATATGAAGCAACTTTGTAATTAAAATTTATTCAATAAATATCAATGATGATCAAATAATTGTTATGATAACAAAATGTCAAAGTGGTTTGGCACTTAAATGGCTTCATGGTGCCAAGAAATATATTATTTGCATGATTAAAATTTAATAATTTTTCATTTATCAAGGCTTATGAACAATTTCCTGAAATTAAAAATTAATAAATGTAAAAAAAGATATTATTTGAAGATCTTTCTCTTATATATTCAAAAAATTGTCAATAAATTATTTGTGACTTTTTGTCCTATCCAATTTGTGACTTTATGTCCTGTGACTTTCTGTCCGTTTACCCTATTCATAGTATAGCCCAGTGTTTCTGTTAAAATAAAGTTCTGGTCATGGTTAAAATAATGTCAGAATTTGTTTAGTTGTAAAAACAATTACCAAGTAATAATCCACTTAGAACTTCACCTCCGGCAAAATTCAGGTGATCGGAGGGCAATAAATTGCGTAATCGCACACCTGTGAATCCAGTCACAACTCTAAGGAAATAATGACCGGAAAATCGGACACACATAATTTCACTGTGTAATTTAGAAGCAAACTTTAGCAAAGAAATGTTTCTTGTAATATCATGATCATTACCAGATTTTACTTTTTAAATTAAAAGAAATGCCGAAAAAAAGAAAAAAATATTTTCTCAATCAAATACATTTAAAAAAATACAACTATTTCAAGTAGTATTTTAGAAAAAGAATTTATTTGATCTGAAATAAGTTTTCCTATTACTTTTCTTGATTAGCTATCGAGGTTATTCATCCCTGACTTGTCTACATGTTGTAGAATAATTATCGACGAGAATCTCATTCCGGGCCGCGTTTTTTAACGGGATTTCACGGAGTTGCCAATCTCTGTGTATATATGTCTCTGGCCGAAACCACTAAGCGTTTTGCATCGATACGTTTTTTTTTTCGGGATACTGCATGACTGCATAGTAAACTATCAATGTACTAGTTAATGTTCTCGAGGGGTGACCCTATTACAGAGACAGATATACACATATGTGTAAATATGTCTCTGCCCTATTACGTGTCAGTAACCTCCTCGACACGGTTCATTTTTACGGCGGCTCAGTTTTGTCTTAAGAATAAACATAATTGATAAGTTTCTTTCCCCTGCATTTCTCGATCGCACTTGTAAATAGCACATTGGTCTCAAGACATTGGTTACAACACTTGCCGTCAGTACTCAAAATTGGAAAAATATTAAATAAGAAGGTATAGAAAATTAAATTAATGCACACACACTATTATCAACCACAGACATGATGTTTTTTTCTCAATTTGCCTAAATCGTTATTCCGCAATACAACGAGGGTGAAAACCCACCACTTTGAACACAGTCACAGGCACCGGCATGCTGTGAACTTGTAAGTTTCCCAAATGAGTAACTATCCATTACTTTTCTAGTGTAAAGTTTTATTTAATACACATTTGATTTGAAATGGCATATCAGAGAGATATATAAACATATATCAATGGCTGATTTGGGGGGGGGGGTTGTTTGGAAAAATTTGGTTGATTATATAGGGATCACTGAAGCATGACTGGAGCCGGCCCTCCCTTATGAAAAGTTCTGGATCTGCCACTGTATATTCATAAAATAAACCAACAAATTATCCAAAAGATGAATAATACTTAATACTTACGACTAAGATTGATTATAAGTATACTTGAGTCGGTTTTACAAAAAAAAAACTTACAATTTATCGTAAGTATACTGTATTGTACATGACTTAATTACTATCAATATTATTTGTAAGTTTTTTTGTGAAACTGACTGCTGAATTGTTTTTCCATGCTTATGGTACATCTAAGTTGTATGCTTTTTTTAAAACCACCTCCAGGGTATAATGTCTGCTCGCCCATAGAATCTGTTTGTAGATATAGGAAGATGTGGTATGAGTGCCAATGAGACAACTCTCCATCCAAGTCACACAATTTATAAAAGTAAACCATTATAGGTCAAGGTATGGTCTTCAACACAGAGCCTAGTTTTTATCAAAAATGAAATATATTGATATTAATAGTATACAGGTTAAATAATTTATTCATACATTTTTAATTGACTGACTAGAATTATCATGATTATTGAGGAATTTGAACCATTCCTATTTTTAAAAAGGGACAAAAATAAAATTTATATATAATAACAGGGTGATACAAATGAGAAAAACTCAAGAAATTGTTTTCAATTAAGATAAATACATGGTTTTCAGTTGATTTTTAAAGCAGAGGCAGATTTAGTTTAAAGTTGGAAAAAATTGTTTGTACCAACAAAAATAAATACAGAAAGTTAATCCAGAATTATGTGTTTATCATTTTTTTTTATGTTTAGGTTGCCAGCAAGATGAAAAGAACAATGCAGTTCAAAAGTCAAAATGTGGATAAGCTGCGGTACAAGGTCCTACTTTTGCAGATTTTCATATTTTGCATGAATGAATTTGAAGTTTATATCCTGGAGGGCAGAGAAAGAAAAGAAACACTTCAGTTTTCCTGCTTCTGAAGGATAAATGTAAAACATCTTGTTTGGTAAGTTTTATGCTCTGTTATGATAGTGTTTGTGCATCCATCTGTCTTTCTCTAAATTGTATTCACTTTAAGTTTTTGGTTACAGTTCACCATGAACTTCAGTTAGTAACTTGTGGTTTTACATGTATATACTCAAAATTTAGTACTTTAAAATGTTCATGTATTTTTGTCGAGCCCGCAACTTTTGTCGCAGAAAGCTCAACATAGGGATAGTGATCCGGTGGCGGCTACGGCGGTGGCGTTAGCAGTGGGCGTTAGCTAACTTCCTAAAAGCTTTATATTTTAGAAGGTGGATGCTTCATACTTTGTATATAGATGCCTCATGATACGAATTCTGTCTGAAACATGTCCATTGTCCTTGACCTCATTTTCATGGTTCAGTGACTACTTGAAAAAAAAGTTCAGATTTTTTGTAATGTTAATTTCTCTCATATTATGAGTAATAGGATAACTATATTTGGTATGTGCGTACCTTGCAAGGTCCTCATGCTCGTCAGAGAGTTTTCACTTGACCTAGACCTCATTTCATGGATCAGTGAACAAGAACTTAGTCTTAGATGCATGATTTTTTTTATTAGTTGTTAGTGGCTTTGTACTAGCTGTCAGTAACTGCGAGTACTCTCAGATCTGTACTTAGTGTCTTTTTTGTTGTTTGGATGTACAAGTACCCGGCCACGTCCACTTGTATTTGTAGTATTTGTATTTTTATCCATCTGATGAGTTAAGCCTCTTTCAACTGATTTTTTTTGCGGTCGTATATTGGTATGATGTTGGCGTCGTCGTCGATAAGTTTCAATATGGATCTCTGACATTGTACCACAAGGTTCCATATCACAAAGGGAATGCTGGGATTGATTTTGGGGGGTAATTGCCTCAAAATATTAGGAATTAGGGGCCAAAAAAGGGGCAAAAAAGAAGCATTTTTCTAGTTTCATGACAATAACTTGTGTGTAAGTGTATGGATCTTTCTGAATTTGTACTACAAGGTTCCATATCACAAAGAGAAATCTGGAATTGAGTTTGGGGGTAATTGCCCAAAACGTTTAGGAAAAAGGGGCCAAAAATAAGCATTTTTCTAGTTTCCAGACAATAACTTGTGTTCAAGTGTATGGATCTCTCTGAAATTGTACTGCAAGGTACCATACCACTAAGGGAAGGCTGGGATTGATTTTGGGGGTAATTGCCTCAAAATTTTAGGAATTAGGGGCAAAAAAGGGGCAAAAAACAAGCATTTTTCTAGTTTCAGGACAATAACTTGTGTGTAAGTGTATGGATCTTTATGAAATTGTACTACAAGGTTCCATATCACAAAGGGAAAGCTGGGTTTGAGTTTGAGGGTAATTGCCCTAAACGTTTAGGAATTTGGGGCCAAAAAGGGGCCAAAAAAACAAGCATTTTTCTAGTTTCCAGACAATAACTGGTGTTCAAGTGTATAAATCTCTCTGAAATTGTACTGCAAGGTACCATACCACAAAGGGAAGGCTGTTATTGAGTTTTGGGGTGATGAATCATAAGGGGGTTCAAAAAATTTGGGGGGGGGGGGATTTTTTTTCCTTTTTTTTTCTTTAAAATTTTCCATTTTAAATTGGTTATTTCTGATTTATATATAAAAGCAAATAATTATGATATGGTTTGAATAGGTAAATTAAAATTTTTTAAGTTCTTAGACCACATTCATTCTGTGTCAGAAACCTATGCTGTGTCAAATATTTAATCACAATCCAAATTCAGAGCTGTATCAAGCTTGAATGTTGTGTCCATACTTGCCCCAACTGTTCAGGGTTCGACCTCTGCGGTCATATCAAGCTGCGCCCCAGCAGAGCATTTTATTATTGTTCGTTCTTATGTTGTACTGTTACACCACTGTCCCAGGTTAGGGGGAGGGTTTGGATCCCGCTTACATGTTTAACCCCGCCACATTCTGTATGTATGTGCCTGTCCCAAGTCAGGAGCCTGTAATTCAGTGGTTGTCGTTTGTTTATGTGTTACATATTTGTTTTTCGTTCATTTTTTGTACATAAATTAGGCCGTTAGTTTTTCGTTTGAATTGTTTTACATTGTCATTTCGGGGCCTTTTATAGCTGACTGTGCGGTATGGGCTTTGCTCATTGTTGAAGGCCGTACGGTGACCTATAGTTGTTAATTTCTGTGTCATTTGGTCTCTTTTGTAGAGTTGTTGTCTCATTGGCAATCATACCACATCTTCTTTTTTATATTTAAGGTTAAGTTTTGGTGGTCAAGTCCATATCTCAGATACTATAAGCAATAGGTCTAGTATATTCGGTGTATGGAAGGACTGTAAGGTGTACATGACCAACTGGCAGGTGTCATCTGACCTTGACCTCATTTTCATGGTTCAGTAGTTATAGTTAAGTTTTTGTGTTTTGGTCTGTTTTTCTTATACTGTATGCAATAGGTCTACTATATTTGGTGTATGGAATGATTGTAAGGTGTACATGTCTAGCTGGCAGGTGTCATCTGACCATGACCTCATTTTCATGGTTCAGTAGTCAAAGTTAAATTTTTGAGTTTTGGTCTTTTTTTCTAACACTAAATGCAATAGGTCAACTATATTTGGTGTATGGAAACATTTTATGATGTACATGTCAGTCCCGCAGGTTTAATTTGACCTTGACCTTATTTTCACGGTTCATTGCTCAGTGTTAAGTTTTTGTGTTTTGGTCTGTTTTTCTTAATCTATAAGCAATAGGTCAACTATATTTGTTGTATGGAAGGATTGTTAGCTGTACATGTCTGCCTGGCATGGTTCATCTGATCTTCACCTCATTTCCATGGATCATTGGTCAATGTTTAGTTTTCTTGGTTAAGTCTGCTTCAAGGGAAACTATAAGCAATACCGGTAGGTCAACTGTATTTAGTAATTTGAATGATTGTAAGGTGTACATATATTTCTTGTCAGGTTTATATGACCTTGAATTCATTTTCTTGGATCATGTTGAGTTTATGTGATAGTTGTAGTAAAGCTTTATATTTAGGACTATCAACATGATATCAATGATTAGTAAAGAAGGCGCAACATTTCAGTGTGTGCACTCTTGTGTATATATTAAACACCACATTTACTGTTTTTACCCTGATTTTATGGATCACTGAACATAGACATGTCATAATGTGAAATTATAGTACATTCTTAGGTTAAAGTTTTAGGTTAAGGTACATAGCTTACCATGAAGTTGAATTTCATGCACATGTTCATTATGTGGTGAATTTTTAAATTCAGTGCCAAACTAAGATTTTGAGCCTGATTACATGATTGACTAGACATTGACACATGCTAGTGTTTGCCAGGCATTGTGTCCTGTACTAGGAATTTGTCCTGTACTAAGAACTTTAATAGTACTCGCTGAGTATAGAGTTTTTGTGAAAGTTTAATATTAGTGAGATTTTTGCATGACATCCTGTCAACTGCTTGTTGATCATGTTTATACATGTCTTAAAATTAATATCTGACACATTGGTGTTTTGTGAACTTGGAAATAAGTTATTTGATAGAATAATAATGTTTTGAGATTATCAAAATAAAAAATATCCCATTTTTACTACATTGTGTATTAATGATTAAGTATATAAAAAAGAAGATTTAGGATATATGTATAACCATATATAAAAATGAGACAGCAACCAAACAACACAAAAATAAGAAAAAAAACCAATATAATTTTTTGTATCAATGTTATAATTTCCAACATGTCCAAAGAGTTCAATGTATTTTCTAATTGAAATAAAACACAAGTGGAACTCTTTCAGAACTTCAGAAGCTTAAAGAAGTGCTGTTTCTATTGTTGGCTTTCTGTATAATATATTGCAAATTCTTGTGAAAAATGGAATTTTATTGTAATTGCCTAAAGTTTTAACATTGATCTATATATATATATAACTACTGGGGAAAATACCCAAATGTTATAAAGAAGAATACATAAATTGATTGTTATATAATATTAGAATAGGAAGATGTGGTATATTGCTAATTTGACAACTCTCCATCAGAGACCAAAGGATGTAGGAGGTTAGCAACTGATAACACTGGACAACCTTCAACAATCAGTAAAATCCATACCGCATAGCTATTTTTTTATTGAAAAATCATATGTTCTTGCTACATGTATGTATACAATTTTTTATTATCCATAACTTCGGATTTTATTGGTTCTTTTTCAGAAGGATTGGAATTCATCACTGAGAATAGAAGGAGAAAACACAGAAACAAGACCAAAATAAATTCAAAGACAAAAGTCAGATCAGTTATTATTTTCATCACTCAGCCAATGAATTGCAGTTCTATTAAATATCTAAAGATATTAAAACCACAATAATGACAATGTTGTGTGCTGAATGGCAAAAAAAGTGGACTATACATTACGATCACACAATGCTGGATGATAAGAAACTATTAATTTTTTGGGTGGAGGGATATCCTGAAAAAAAAATAGATTTATGTAAAAAGCTACTAGTATGTTAAGACTATTAATAGAGTTTTCATTGATTTCAAATGGGAAAAAATTGTGTTTCAAAAAAGTGTTCTAGAATTCATAAATAAACATATATTGATACTTACATTATCTGATTTGTTGTTTAAAAGTTTAGTTTTGAACAGTTATAGAACAATATAATTGCGTTAACATTTCCAAGGAAAAAAAAGATATTCAACTAAAAAGATTCATCTTAAAATAATTTACTACCAAACAGAATTCATTGTAACATACACATTTATTTACTGTATATTTATAATTTGAATCATAGGATTTTATTTTGTCCCATGGGATATTAAAAATCCCATGGGATAATTATAGTCCCATGGGATTTTTTTTGTCCCATGGGACAACAAATATCCCATGGGACTACAATTATCCCATGGGACCCAAAAAAATCCCATGGGATTTAACCAAAATCCCATGGGATAATGGTCAATCCCATGGGATTTGCCTTATCCCATGGGATATTGAAAATCCCATGTTTTTCTAAATCAAATTACAAAATATTTATAATAATAACAGCAGAAAAGCAATGAAATTATTGAATCCCATGTAATTCCGCACATTTTGGTTATTTACACCACACTGTAGGTCTAAGGAGAGGCGGCGGCGGATTTGCAAATGAGTGTTTTGCAAATTAAAAGTGTCCAGTGTTTATATATTATTTTCAAAGAAAACAAATATTTGAGAAAATATTTCCAAATTTGAGAAAAAATTTCGAGTTTTATTTTAGAAAAAAACATCATATAGAAAACAAAACACAAAATGCATTTACAATCTCAAAATTTTAAGGGAGAAAAAAGAAATTGCAAAAATTTACCGGTATATTTTTAGGTTCGTTCGTTCGGGTTTTTAGTGTAACCTTCGTCAATACATGAATAAAGAACCCGTGTTTTAAAAGCCTCTAAATGCACAAAAAATGTAAACAGTTGTGTTCAATTTTAATATATCTGCTTGTTATATCATTTCTTATCGTGGAAATTGTGTTGAAACTGTTTATTCGAGTATATTGGGGTAAAAAGTCATTTTGTGATCGTAAGCGGCTGACATGAACAGAACAAGTTACGAGGGAAAAAGTGATTTAAAATTAAATATATTCATAAAATAAAGTATTAATGTCGTTAAAATAACATTTAAATGCCTAGTGTAACATTGTTATTCAACCAAATTATGTTTAATCTGCTTTTTGAGGTATATTGGGGTATGTTGGGGTATATTGGGGTATATTGGGGTAAAAAGTCACGCCGGGTCAGTGCGTGATCACGTGACATTATTATTTGTAAACAAACGGGCTCCCCATGTAACACGTGTCGGAACTATCCATATAAGGTGCAATCAATCTTTTATTTCACTATTTGATGATATTTTTTGTGTCTGTTTGTAGGTTTTGCAGATCAGATCATCGACAGATGTCATAGTGTAGTTTCATAGGTAAAAAAGTACCATGATCGTTCCTGTTCAGTAGTTGTGAATTTTTTTTATAGAATTAGAAGGTAATTCTACATTAGTCATTATTTGAATTAAGTCTGAAAAAAAATGACTCAACTCTCTGTGTAATTTTTCCCCAATTTTTGAAACATGCATAATTTAAAGAGCATTTGCTTCCCTTGAACCCTCCCCCCTTACAAATTGCCCAACATCATACTCATAGTCCGAGATTACTCTGGTGTTCAACATCTGTTTTTGCGATTCCGGCATTTTAACTCTTTATTTTCAAATTGAACACACTCGGCCATTTAGCTTATTTGCATCATAAATGAACGAGGTGTTAGATTATGTTTTCCTATTGAATAAGGGTCATTTTCATAAATCAGCTCTCATACATGTAATGCATTGTAAATTACTTTTCTGTTGGTCATGTCACAATCTTTTAAAGTTAAAGTAAAAATGCCAGTATTGATGTGTCGATTTGAAAACTGTCCAAATATGAGAAAATAGCGGGTGGCAGGTCGATTAAACTTACTTTAATGAAGAGAAAAATGAACTAATTGAGGCTCGATTTATATAGATTATGTTTTCCTATGGAATATGGGTCATTTGCATAAATCAGTTCCCATAATGTTGGTCATGTGACATTCTTATAAAGTGAAAGTTAAAATGAGGGTGGTAATGGGGGTACCTTCATGACGAATAACGGTAAAAAATCCTGCCAAATGACGTTAACGGTAATTTTTTTGTGCATGACGATAAAATACTTTCTTCAAGACGATAAAAAAAATAGACAGATTTGGATGAAACACGTTAATTTTTCCCCAAAAATAATGGTAACGATAATTATTTGAGACCTCTGACGAATCACGATAAAATGTTAACCAATTTGATGCTAACGGTAACCGAAAATGACTGTTTGACGCCTGACGGTAAAGGGCATTCATACCCTCTAAAATGCCAGTATTGATGGGTCAATGTGAAAACTGTCCAAATATGAGAAGATAACGGGTGGCAGGTTGATCAAACTTACTTAAATAAAGAGAAAAATGCATAAATTGAGGCTTGATTTATATGAATCCAGTCGCCTCCACTTCGGACAGGCAAATATCATCTATCTGATATGGGACCAGCTGAAGTCCCACTGCCCTAGCTTGTGTCGCAAAACAGTCGTTGGAGGTTAGAGTAATCTCCGACTACAAAACTCAATTCCAATGACAAAAATGCCCTAATCTTAAATTGAAAGCATTGGAAAAGTAAACTGTATTGTAAACTATAATTTTGACAATGACCACAATTTGTTTTAGTTCAATGTACATGTAATAATATGCGGGATAATACATGAACTTAATACTGCTTCAAGGTTATACAGGTTTGTCAATGTAAAAATAAAATAATTTGTTTGCTAACTTAGGGAGTTACCATTTGATTTTTTAGGGGGGTCTAGGATGAAATTTGAAAAAAAGGCAGGATGAGACAATATGAAAAAAAAAGGCAGGATGACAATTTATGTAAACAAGTCGGGATAAACTAATAGAAAAAAAGGCAGGACAAAAAAGAGTGAAAAATAAAAAGGCAGGACAGATAACATCTCGAACTAAAAAAAAATGCAGGAAAATTTTTTTTCATCCTAGCCCCCCCCCCCCTCTTTTCCCCCATAAAAATGGAAAGGAAGCTCCTTTATAGTGTTTCCTTCAGAGGGTGTTGGCCTGGAATGGTACCCTGCAGTTTTCATACGCCTGTTAATGAGAAATATTATGGTATGCCTTTGTCCGTCTGTCTGCCCTGATCTGTCTGTTTCTAGCATGTTGTTCACTAACTCAGTAATATTTTCACCAATTTGCATGAAACTCTGGTGAATTGATTATATCTACTGACGTTAGCTCCCTTTTAGATTTTTAGGAATTTTATAATATACATGTTCAAAATGTGAGGTTTTATTCATTAAAAAAGGGGGGTTTTCGTGTTAATGCCCATTAACTCTAAAAATGCTTTGTTCACCAACTCTTCAACGCTTTCACCAATTTGCATGAAACTGTTGTGAATTGATTATTTTATAAATTTTAGGTTTCCCGTTTCAGAGTTATATGGGATTGTATTTATGTATTGATGTGAGCTCCCTTTAGATTGTTTTGGAATTTTAGAATTTACATTATCCAGTTACAATGTAAGGGGTTTTATTCATTCAAAAAGGGGGATTTCCATGTTTTCGGACATTAACTGAAAAATGCTTTAAGCAGTTGTTATTTGTCATGAAACTTTGGTTAATTGTTTATATATATCTATTGATGCAAGCTCCCTTTCAATTTAATAAATTGTGGAATTTTATTCGTGAAAAAGGATGGCTTTCCCAGTTTGCAGATTAAATTAAAAGTTTGTTCATGCACTTCTCTGGCATGTTTCAGTAAATGTGTAAATTATAACTGACATAACTAACTTTGACAATGACCACATATTTTTAAGTTCAATGTACATGAAATATACAAGGTAATGCATGTATACTCGATACTGCTGCAAGGTTATACAGGGTTGTCAATGAAAAAAAAAAAAATTTGTTTGCCAACTTTAGTGTTTCTTTCAGAAGGTTTTGGTGTGGTATGACACCCTGTCATTTTTATACGCCTGTTTACGGGACGTACTATGGTATACCGTTGTCCGTCTGTCTGTCCGTCGTCAACATGCCGGACATTAACTCAAAACCGCTTTAACCAATTTGCATAAAACTTTGGTGAATTGTTTATATCTATTGACATGAGCTCCCTTTCGTTTTTTATAAATTTCAGATTTAACGTTTCTGAGTTATGGGGTTTTATTCATTAAAAAAAGGGGGATTTTCCAGTTTTCAGACAATAAAAGCTTTCACCAACTTGCAAGAAATTGTGGTGAATTGTTTATATCTATTGACATAGTTCCCTTTCGATTTTTATATATTTTAGATTTTACATTTCTGAGTTGCAGGGTTTTATTCATGAAAAAAGGGGGGATTTTCCAGTTTTGGACAAAAATCAAAAATGCTTTCAGCAGTTTGTATGAAACTTTGGTGAATTGTTTATATCTATATTGATGTAAGCTCCGTTTAAAATTTTATAAATTGTACATTTTACATTTCTGAGTTATGGGGTTTTATTCATTGAAAAAAGGGGGATTTTCCAGTTTTCAGACAATAAAAGCTTTCACCAACTTGCAAGAAATTGTGGTGAATTGTTTATATCTATTGACATAGTTCCCTTTCGATTTTTATATATTTTAGATTTTACATTTCTGAGTTGCAGGGTTTTATTCATGAAAAAAAGGGGGGATTTTCCAGTTTCAGACAAAAATCAAAAATGCTTTCAGCAGTTCGTATGAAACTTTGGTGAATTGTTTATATCTATATAGATGTAAGCTCCGTTTAAAATTTTATAAATTGTACATTTTACATTTCTGAGTTATGGGGTTTTATTCATTAAAAAAGGGGTGATTTTCCAGTTTTCGGACAATAGCTCAAAAATGCTGTCAGCAATTCTCATGAAACTTAAGTGAATATCTATTGATGCAAGCTCCCTTTACAGTTTCATAAATTTCTAATATGACTGGGAATTAATTGAACTTTATTTGTTTATAGTCTGACGACAGATTTACTAAGTATTGCGCAACAGCACAGTGTATTGCACA